CCTATTTTGGGAAGTTTATCTATTTCTTTTAATGATTTGGAACCTACATCGCAGGGTTGTCCATTTTCGTCCAGAAAGTAGACTAAATTATCCTTCCTGTATTGAAATAAATCCTTGACTACGATGATCTTTCAATAAATATTACAATTGAAAAAATGAAAATCGATTTGTTTCTTCATTTATTAGTAATAAGAACCTATTTTTCTAAATATAATTATAACATATATATACACTACCGACAGAAAGTTTCGGGACAAGATGAAAATTTATTGAAATGATTATTAAAAGTAAAATAAATCAAGAAGAAAGTCAATGACACGATCATACCCACTGTAAAATAGCATTTTCTTTATAGATCAACTTAATTTGTTTATGCATCATATTTAAATTAAAAAGTAATCAAGAAGGTTGTCCAAAAATTTTCCGTTGGTACTGTATATTAAAAGGCTAGAAGGAATAAGGGTGTTTTTCAATAATAATAATAATTTTTCATTAAAATATTAATTTTTTATTTTTTTAAAGATAGTATAGAAGTTTACAAAAAAAATATTCTTAATCGTTAAATTACATTTTTTCAAATATTAATCAACACTTGTTTGATTGCATGCTAGACCTTTACCAGTTAAATTTTTAAAGGGTCTCTTTAATTTATTTTTATAGTTAAACTTTTCTTTAACAACGTTCTTAAACATTTTCAAGAGTATTCTGTCGTTTTGTTCTGTGTTGCCATTAAACAATTTATAAAATGATGATAGGGAGTTGTTGTTAGAAAGCCAATGCAAGACAACAATACAATATTGACCACAATAATTAGAACCAATGTTTTGTAAATGCTGTTTGTTCCACCGGTATTTTCTGCAGTTTCTATTAAGTCGTTGAATAAATCTATGATCACTTGGTGGGAGTCCGAAGCTATCAATGTAGATCCCGTCTCCGTGTTTGTTAACGAAGAATGCGACCCAGTGAGTTCCCGGTTTTGTGTGATCATCGGTATTGGCGATGATTGAACACGGTTTAGGCCAGATCCATGGGATCTTGTCTGCGGGATAGACTCCTCCAACGGTTGCATCGGTATAAGGTAAAAGTCGTACTAATTGAAGGGTGTCCATAAAATTGTCTGTACAACGTGGTACCACACAGAATACTGATTTATTTTTTCAAAACTTTTAGTTATATACTCTTGCTCAACATTACTAATACAAATATGATTCTCATTATATAAAAGTATATACTATTTTCTCTCTAATTATAATCCACTATAACCTGACGTGATGAATCAATTTCCAGAATGTTATCAAACTCTAAGTATGTAATACAGTTTACATTAACGTCAAGAGCTTTAGCAAAACGTACTTCTAGCCTCAAACTTCCGTTCTTAACTAAATTCCAATGAGAAGCCAGATTTGCCGACAGATCCGGTGTTAAATCAAAGGCATAAAGAGTGTATCCGTACTGATATTACATACGCGAGATCCAATGTCCTGTGTTTCCAAAGTGTATGCCAGTTCCACTAAACAATGTATTATACGCTTCTACCTCAGAATAATTGTCCCTACCAAAATGGGGTTGTAACGCCCTACCCAACACTTGTTTTCCATCAATGTATAAACAAAGATAGTTTAATGAAAATGTTTGAAAATTGAAGGGATTATGTTTCTTGGAGCCGTTGTAGGCACGATTATCCACAAAACCAATTATTACTCTTTTAGGTAGTTGACCGAGTACGACATTATCGATGGTATTTCCGAGTATTCCTTGCGATAATACAAATGATTTTACTTCAACCCTAGTTAACGGATACTTTGCAGTTGTTTGCCCCAATGTTCTTGCATGAGCTATTAAAATGCTTGGGCTAATTTTCACTCTCCTTGTAATGAGCATAGCCTCCAAAATCTTGACCACATAGTTGTTTTCACTTGCATTCATAAGACAAAATGCGTTTTTTGATCGGATTAATCGTATTCTCATTTCGACTCCGTTAAGTAAAAATTTATCTTGATTAAAAACATCACAATGTAAATGACCCATCATTTCAAACTCTTTTCCTTTTGAAGTGTATACCGAACGCTCCTCTAGACCTTTATTTTTTGATTTCTCTAGATTATCGAATTCTCCCATTGTATCCATATTCCACAACCCCATCTTAAGATGAGTACTTTTTGCATCAACTCCATAATTTAAAATTGTTTCTAAGTAAGATCTATAAGCGTAGGCATTATTAGGTGGTGATACCGTTTTTTGATTAAAAAAGACATCCATTTGATTAAACATTGAATGCAAAAAATTATTTACCGGACCCACAATATCTTTTTCATCTACTGTACCATCAGCTTTCACAATTTTTGCTTTAATTTTTATCATAGTATGCGATAAGTCAATGTATTCTTCGCCATGTCCAGGTACAACGAATTCTATCGGAGCATCGTCTGACAAAGATGCCATAGGGTTGTAATAGGTCCATTGTGATTGTTCAATACTTGTTTGTGTAGGAGGTAGGGTGAATAAATCCAGTTCTGACTTTGCACACTCCTCAGAGTGAGAATGTAAAAAGGATATTTTTATTAATTGAATATATCGTACGCGTCACGCTTTTTAGATTTTTTCACTTTGCGTTTATTTTGTTTTGAGGTTTTATTTTTTTTGCTAACTTTTTTTTTCTTAGTAATCTTTTTCTTACTATTACGCTTCCGCACTCTCCCACGGTTACTCGCTTTATGAGTTATTTTACGTATTTGCTGTCTTTTATACCCCGATCTACTCATCATCTTATCCAATTTTTCTGTTGCCTTTCTTTTAAGTCGAATTCCTGATTCTGTTAGTCTGTGTTCCAATGCTTGTTTGAAAGGAATTTGTCCTGTTGTGACGTCACTCAATACGTTCATACCTGCATGAAGAGCCTCTTTTCCTACAGCTCGTGCCGCTTTACCGAAAAAAGGGACAACTCTGCGAAAGAGTCCTCCCAGAAAAGCGCCTATACCATGCCCGTGTTGATAAGAACCAACATATACTTTGCCAAATCTATTATATTTTTCGATATACCCTCCACCTGCCTGATTATTATAGTATTCAATGTAATGAGACATTTTTAATCAATTCTCTTAAAGTGAAGTGTCACGTTCAAAGGTCCGTACTCAAATGGCATAGGATCGCTATTATTATTTCTTATATCTATTTCAATTGTTCTAAAAGAATTCGATATAATGGGTATATAATTAGGAGAACCGTAATTATTGGTGACAGTCATTCCGTATGAATATAAACTTGTTTCTAAAGTTATTGCTCGTAATAACGGTGAATTTATGTCTCCAGTTACATATGGAGCACAAATATCGCAATAAATGAAAAATCTATCGGGTATCCCTCTTGTCAAGCTGAAGGGTCTTTCACTTACATTTATATATTCATAACTATCACTGTCTTTTGTACCTAAAAGGAAGTCTGCTTGATTGGTTTTATCGTCATAGCGGTTAAAACCTAAAATATCTAATAAAGTTGGAGATAACAAAAGACGATGACTGGTATCTTTACATTTCGGAAGTTTACAAATTCTTTTTACAGTGGTAAATCCTGAATCATTTATTTCAAAGTGAAAATGTTCTGCAGTATCAAGAAAGTTATTCAAAGCTGACATGAATTTCCTTGGGTCTGTATAATGTCCTCTGGGTAAGTAAAAATCTGAATATATATCAGGAACTCCATAGCCTGCAGGGCCAGCGCTAACTAAATACAGTCCTCCTTCTTTTTTTGACTGAATGTGAAAAAAACTTGCAGGGAACTGTATTTCTTTTAGTCCTACTACCCATTGCCCTTCCAATTTAATGTGATCTGGTAGCATTGTTGTGTAATGAGCTGCCGTGTTGTCCGGAAAATAATTCATACTACTATCACTTGGTAAAACCATAAGAAACTCTGTTTTATTCATTCTGATATTGTTGATGCAAGAATCCAAGAATTGAATTTTTCTGGATATCCTTGCCACTTCACTAAATACTGCTTATTTTTACCCTTTCCCTTGGATTTAATTATCTTTTCTATTATAAATTCCTCTTTTTCAAGATCCTTATTCACACGCGATAACTCTTGTTCATAAAAAAAGCCATCAATGTCTTCACCACTTAAATCTTTTATTTCATAAATAGGAATATTTTGTCGTAGCTTTGCTTTTGTAATTTGAAAAATTTCTTCAGTATAGCCAGCCTCATATCCTTTCTCAAAGACAGACTTATATTTACTAATGCGTACGTAGTCATTCACCTTATATTTAAGGGGTTTTCGGCGTGATTTTATTGGTTTAAACTGATTTCTAATATTATCCCATGCCGTTTTAGCATTATATATAGTCACGGCTGATGGTTGCATTTTAATTGAACTATGCTTTGTATTATTATACGCTTTAACTAATTGTTGTAAAATATCTAGATAACGATAAGTTTTTTTGTGAGCAAAATATCGCCACATGCGTTCTTTTAATGTTCGATTTACTCTTTCTACCACTGCATATTTAACATCTGGATTTCGCGCTGTTCGAAAAATTATATCTTTTGATTTTAAAAAATCCTGGACTGTATCGGCTACAAATTCTTTTCCTTTGTCTGTTTGCAGAGTTATTGGCGTACGCCCTTTACTACGGTCAAAAATATTCTTAAAACCTTGTAAAACTGATTTTGCTGACTTATCTAATAAGGGCTCAACCCATACATATTTACTTAGGATATCTATTACAACTAGGATAAATGAAACACCATCATTATAAGTTTTTAAAGATTTTATTTCTACAAGATCAGCCTCCCATACATCATCTATATTTGACACATTATAATGTAATCTTGGAAATTTACGTCTAGTAGGTCTATGCCTTGTGTAAGCATCTTGACCAGCTAACCAATCATTTATTTTTTCTTCAGGTATATTTTTTTTGAACTTTTCCACTAAATTACGTGCTCCGGAGTATGATACAGGGTTAGAAGGGTTGTAATACTCTTTTTCTAGAGTTTTTTCATCTATAAGCGTAGCCATTTGAATGAATTTTTATACAATTGTTTTTTATTGCCACCGTTTTGTAGAGTATTGTTCGTTAAGGATAGAAAATTTTGAGAATTTCCTGATGAATCATTACTTCTCATGTGTCGCTTAGGAGTAGAGGTGTTAATAGGTAATTTTTTTATACTTTTTAAACTTTTATTCCAAAAGCTACTATTCCCTACAAATTCTCGTGGAGTGTTGATTTCTTGTGAAAAGGAGGCAAAAAAATCTCTACCTGTAGCCTTTACAGTTTTTCTATGACGTACAGCATCATTTATGAGGTCAACTATATTAGCACCTGGTATTTTACGGTCATCCAAAGTAACACTTCCTTTATTATCCCACTTTAACCGTTCACCATTGTCTACAGACTCAATATAACGTAGAATATTTTCCGCTGCTGTTTGGTATGTTTTTGGAACACCATTTACTATGTCAGAAACTTTATACGATTTATTTTGTTCAGCAATACTATTATTTATCGATATATTACTAATTTCTGGATCTCTATTAATGGCATAAAAATCAGCAGTGTCAGGAATAACTTCATTATTTTCAATTTTTTCAACAGTAGAATTACCCTCATGGGATTTGTTCTTGAAAAACAAATATCGTCTCAATAGTTCGGAATATTGTTTTAATTTATTGTTATCGCTAATATTTGACGAACTTTCATTTAAAGTCTTGGACAATTCGGCATCAAGACGAGAAAGAGGATCCCCAGGAGTTTGAGATGTAGGCAGATATTGTGTAGAGAGAGCAGTTAACACTTGTTCAAAATTTTTTGCTCCAGATTTCAATTTATCAATATCCTCATAAGGAATAAGTACCATCTTTTTCGCATGTTCCATAATTTTAGAAGAGATTTGATATTAAAGCACCGAGCAAGGGGCCTAGTAGCATAGTCAAAAATGCTCCTCCTTTTTGATTAATTAGTTTTTTCTTTGTTGAAATATTATTATTTTTAGAGCTCAATTTTCGTAGAATAGTCTTATGTTTAGAAAGTAATTTTTTTTCAGAATCTTTTAGAGGAATGTTTCCGTGTAAAATATTTAAACAGCACTCGCAAATAACACGAATTAAATCTTTTTTCGCGTGACGGAGTATTGCACGACGTTGAGCAGGTGATGCGTATACAAGCGCTTGAAGTAAAGCTGCGTTTTTACGACCAATAGCTTTCCTTGCAGAATGTCTGCTTGAAGATGGTCTTTCTCCAGCCATCACACTCGCATAACTGGAACATTAGATTGAGATGCACTTCCTTTTATATCATTACCTTTGCGTGAAATATAAACATAATGATGAGGATCCGTCGGAAAAATAGCTGATCTAAACCGACAATTTTCAGGGGTTGATTGTTTAAGGTCCAAGAGTAAGTACCCGTGGGGTTTCGAGGTAGCATCAAAATAAGCTTCTTGTAGAAACTTTGGATTCTCCGGATATACTTGGCGAGCTAAGTGAAAAATTTGTGCTCTGTCCCTAGGGTTCTTAAATACTACAATGTAATTTGTGTTGAGTGAGATATCCCGCTGTCCTTTTCCTTGGTGAAATAAATTTTGGGACAAAAACATGACACTTAAATTTTTATGGTGACTACCCTTGGTGAATAAATCAACTATTGATCCATTTGACGATTCACGCATTAAATCATCTACTACCACTAATTTTGCGAAATTATCATCAAAATCACCTGATTGGGGTAATCCTTCTCTAAATTCTACGAATGACTTGTCATAGTCGTTGTATCCTTGTTGCCATTCAGCGTAATAAAATATTACTTTGTTAAATTCCGTATCACAAATTTCCCTAATCTCTTTTAAAAAACGTTTGACAAAAAAAGTTTTTCCACAACCAGTTGGACCACAAATCATAGCCGTGAAAGGATGTTTCCACTTTGGATCCATTTTAATTTCTGAAATAAAACTTAAGTTACAAAAGTATTTATACGAAAGGGATCTTAAAAATAATTATAAACGCAAAATTTCAGTTTTTCAGTTTATTAAAATATTTATACAAAAAAAAATTTATACAAAAAATATTTACACAAAAAAAATCGTACTTCACAAAAAAAATATCGTACTTCACAAAAAAAATATTACTTTTTTTTTTTTTTTTTTTTCTTATTACTAGGGTCAGGACTTTCGTAGTAGTTTAAATGAGTATTTATATGTTTAACCTCAAATTTGAATAAAGAAAAAACTTTTACAAAAACTTTTTTTCTTATTACTAAAATTTTTTTATTAAATTTTTTTTTTCTTATCACTAAAATTTTTACAAAAAACTTTTTTTCTTATTACTAATTTTTTTATCAAATTTTTTTTTCTTATCACTAAATTTTTTTTCTTATTACTAAATTTTTACAAAAACTTTTTTCTTATTACTAAAATTTTTTTTTATCAAATTTTTTCTTATTACTAATTTTTTTTTTATCAAAATTTTTACTCATTCAGCGGCACAAAACATTTATATAATATATTATTCTCATTTAATTTATTCTCGATCTCTTAAACCCATAAGGGAGACTACCTGTTTTCCCTACTCTACGCCTTTTAGGACCCGTAACCCTCACTATTTTCGTGTTGTTTGTTTTTGTTACGACTTGATGGTATTCGTCTCTACGAATAGATGAAAATCTTACTGTTATTCCATTTTTTTCATCTTTGTTTTCAACTGCGTTTTTTCCTTTGTTTATTATATCTTTAACGATCAGATCATGTATCGTTTTATAATTTATTAATTCTGATGTTGACATATTTAATCTTACCCGTTTAATTTACAGCATTCAACTTTGCTACCGTCATCTTTTTGTACTATATATGCATAAAATTTGGGACCACCAGATACAAATGATGAAATGTACGCGTTTTTCCCGTAATCTTTTACTAATTCATCAGTGAGATCTCCTAAAAAATCTCCTGTTGGTAAAACTTTACTTGCATTGTCTGTAACATAAATAACAGAGTCAGTGTCATAATACAAAACCTGTTTTTTGAGCTCTTCTAAGTAACTATAAAGTTTTAACCGGGCCTGCGCTGTTGTAAAAGCTGCAATTGCTACATTTGCCCGATTTGAAGGAGTATAACATTCAATATTATTCAACCAACTAATATAAATAGCATCTTGGTTGATGGGGACAAATTCTTTTACTTCTATCTCCGGGTTAAAAACGATATCACAAAATTCCTTGTAATTTTTAACAATTGATTTTTTTTCATATTTTCGCGTTGACCGAATTTTCCCCAGAAAGAATTAAGAAATAATTTGGCGAGAGATCTTAAACCGGGGTTTTCTTCTATTTTTTCACGATCTAATTTGATTCCCTCTCTCTCTTCATACTGCGAAATGTAAGCTTGTTTCGATTCTTCATTGACACACTGTACGGGCCATCCCGATGATTCTTGCTTGATTTTTAAAAATGTATTTATATATTTTTCAAATAAACCACTACTATTTGCATCATTAGGATCATATTGAACTGTCTGGTAATCCCAAATTTCATAAATTTCCCTAATAAGATAACCTTTATCAACTGCTTTTTGAAGCTCGCATGAGACCCAGGTACCGTGAAGCTCTCGCTCTGTTTCGTTACCATGAGGACAACCCACTTGCAACTGTTCTTCGCAGCATCTCATACATAATGGGAAAAATAATTTATTGTGCATACGCATAGGTAAAACCGGATGATATAAATGTCTGGGAGGCAAAACTCTGCATTTGATTATTCCCTGTATATCACTGATACTATTGTTGGGTGCAATATCATTGCATTCTCGGCCAACATAAATTTTAGGGTGGCCTATTGGGAAAAACCCATTTTTTAAAACCCACGGATACAGTGAACAAACATCAACATAACGGACTTGTTCTATGGGCTCTCCTTTCTCATTCTTTTTTACTTCATAAAGCGATTTTACGTTACCTGTCCGCCCTCCAAAGAAAGCATCACGGGGGTTTATAGGACTAACATCCAAGACGTCTGAGCTTTTGAGGAACAATTGCAATTGTGGATTATTCTTTTTTTCAAGATTAAATTCACACTCCCAAATTTCGACTAATTCGTACCCGCTATCTCTAATTTTTTTACTTTGAGACTGAGTTGAATCATAACGAGCGTTGGGAGTAGCAAGTTTCTTAGAAGCGTTAATGTTATTTTTAAAGCTAAAATTATCCCTGTTAATTTGCACATTCTGAAATTAAGTTAAAAAAAAGTTAAAAATGTATAATCAATAAGTGATAAGATGATAAGTATTATGTTAAAAATTTACCTTTTTGATGGAAAAAGATTTTTTTCACCGCATTAAAAAGCTTCTGTTCGACTCCTTGCTCAATAAAATCAGCGAGCCCACCTTGTCCTGTAAAATTAATTAAAAAAAGTAAAATTAATTTTTTTTAGTATTATAAATAATTATCATTATTAAAAGTTTTTTTTTTTATCATTTACCTTGATGAGGGTATTCAGCGCGAATATCGTCGTCATCAATGTTGAGTTCTGCTGAGAAATTCCTCCGCAAGTTGTGAATAATTGCTTTTATTTCATCAGTCAGACGCTTCTCAAACGGTTGAAAAAGTTCTGGTTTCGATGTCTCCAATTCACGGACGGCTTCCTCCATACCAGATTCAGTGTATCCATACCAATAGGTATCCATTTTTTTTTTTTTTAAACACTTTGTCTTCTTAACTTCACAACTAGAAAATTACTACTGAGGACCTTTTCCGCTCCTCGGATGTTCCCAAAATTTTTACTCCCTCTTTACCACTATTTTTTGCTCTAATCTCATATTTCCATTTAACGCTGAAAACTAGTTTTTCCAGCAAGGGGTGTGAAGGGGTATCTAACAACTTTTCCTGCAGGTGCACTACAATCAACATCCTTTTACGACCCCCCTCCAAGATTTTATTGTATAGCGCTTATCGCACTACCACGGTAATAAAGTGTGGCAGGGTAAAAAGGAAAATAATCGTAGTTTTTCAAATAACAAGGTATTTGCCATAATAAAACCTCATATAATGTTCGTACAGTGACGAATGATGGATCAAATTTACGTGACATAGCCAATACTTTAGTAGTAGAACTAAATGCCATTATACTACCAAGATATCCTAAATCAATGCTGGTGGATAACTTTTCAGTATTTGAGAGGATCGTAACACATGCTAAACTTCTCAGTGATGGTGGATGATACTTGATTTCCCAGCTACTTTTTTCTTCAGTAAAATTTTCTGGTACACATACTCTTGGTATTTCAATCCTATGCTCAAAGTAACTCATATCGTCTTCGGATTCAGCTGAGAACTCCCATTTAGAAACATGAACTTTTTTAACACCGTTTATACACTGAATACAAGTATTTTTTGAATAATTTGCACGATTTTTAATGATACATATTTCACGAATAGTACTTTTGTACATTATTTTGAGAAGGTTTTTTCTACTTATTCTATTCTTTTTTCGGCTAATTAACATTTCTTCCGCACTCACACATTTACTACATTGGGACCGAACCATTTTTGTTGTTATAACTCAACTACCTACGCAAGGAAGACTGATAAATAAAAAAACGAAATATCAGCCATTCTTATTTATCCACCCTAAACCTCCTACCCACAAAAATTATCATTTTATGACCTACAAAAATGTTTATTACCCCCAAGGTACACCTGCATACATCTTAAGACGCCGCTAAACAAACAACCACCCTAGGCGTGAGAAAGACCTCCGAGGACCCATCTCAATACAGGGAATTCCCTTACATTAGGCCCAAGGAATCCCCTTGAACCACTGGTGGGGATGGGGAAACCCCTCGGCCCAATGGAGGGGGAAGGAAAACCCCGGCGCCAGGGTCGAGGAGTGGGGGCCAGACATGTCTCCCCAGATCTGATCCCTTGTAGTCTTAAGCCTAATTTTACAACTTAAGCCTAGCATCTGGATTACGTTTATTACCTTATTTTTTAAGCTAGTTTTTATTAACAATACCCACATTTCTCTAATTGCAATATTTTCCCAAGTTTTTGCTTAGACGCCTGCAAGTCTGCACCCATCATAAATCATTAGTCCCTTCAAGTCCTTACCTGATGTCAGTACCTCATACCCTCTCTTTGCGCCTAAGGTTGACAATATACACCCGCCTTCTATTCCTCTAATTAGCCAATAGTTCCTTAAAATATCCTTCCTGACATTTTTCCGTACTTTTCCACCAATAATAAAGCTTGTTTTCCCTTTCCTTATATTTTGCTTGACTAATTTACGCCCTAATCTAAGTTGTAATGTTGTACTAAGATTTTTGTATAAGTTAGTTCATTCTAAGATCTCTTATTTACCACACATTTTTTTTCTGTAACTGTCTACGCAGAATAAAACAGCATAATTAAATACAGTTCGTTTTTATTCGTGCATGCTAATAGTCTTTCCGATTTAATGGTTTTCTTTAAAAAACTAAGCTATAATAAAATAATTGTAGCTCAAAACAGCCATTAAGTTCTTTACGACCGTTAAGTTTTTATGTTTCTAGAACTTTATGATCTTTTTATTATTTTGGTACAGGTTAATACTTAAAAAATATTTAAGTTCTTATCGTAATCTCTTTAAATCCCTTATTGTAAAGTTCTTGTCGTCTGGCATCAAGGTACTTGGGAAAATTTTGGCTAAATAAAGTTTTAACAGAATTCGAGATTTTTTTTCGAAATTTTTCAAATTTTTTAATTATTAAAAACAGCTATAAAAATATGAAATTTTTTTTTTCAGTAAGTTGTATATGGCTATTTTTATAATTTTTTTTTCGTTTCAGAAAAAAAATAAAACGATAACCAAAATTTCTTTACAAAAAATTGTTAAATTAATAAATAATGTAAATAATTACTGAAAATAGCTTTTTTTGTTTTTCTAACAGCCTCGCGGATCACTATTTCCAGCGTTAAATTTAAATTATAAATAATGGAGATAGAGTTCCGGGAATGGAGACTTATCAATTAAAAATTTACTCCTTTTTAAGAATTTTTTTCTAAACTGCTTAAATATTATTAGGTTTTGAGTTATCAACAAAAAACTAGACTTTTTTCATCTGATTTTTTGAATAACAATCGCAATTTTTTACGTTTGCCAACCCAATGAGCTGTTGCTCATATTTTTAGGAACTTTATCTCTATTATTCACGTTTTTCAACTTATTGATCAGATTACATCTGCTGTATCTTTTAAACTATCAAAGATACAGTTATCAACATTCAAGACGATTTTGTTAAGCATTCATGAATTTTTCCATTAAAATTGATTTCAAGCCTATATTACTCTTTGTTAGCTTGTTACATTTATTTGTTTATAAAAAATTTCGTTTTTGGCATCGTACAACTGTTATAACTTGAAGACTGTTAACTTTAGGACTTTTACATTTTCAAGACAAATTAATAAGCTTTTACTCAAAGTTGTCAAATAATTTAAGTTCTTACGGCGAATTTCCCTTCCTCCTACATTCTTAGAATTCCTCCACCCCGGGCAGTTACTTTGACCAATCATTGACCTTATCAGCTGCCCACCCCAAAAACTTCTATTCTGTTCCAAAGGAAGCAGGTAAAGAGACTAAAATATACCTCAATGATCGGTGAAATAATCATTTAAGCTCTTTACATTTTTTACTCAAGTATCGTGCATCACTGAGTTACTATCGCAATTACGTTTTTCAAGTTTTCGAAGTCGTAATTGTTATCTAGTGTCATTTAAAAAAAATTAAATAAAAAAGTGATTAAATAAATTTTTTCA